ACCATTCGTTTTGCAGCCCGCTTCTACAAAACCCGCACCCCGTAGTTCTCGAGCTCCCGTTGTCGCCTATGCGCTACATCTAGCGGATACCATTAACGGATATCGTGTAGTAATCGTAGTCCATAATCTCCCCTTGCAATTAAACTTGCTTTTTGAGCCGGGGCACTGTTAGTCGATTGTGAGCCGGTACATTCGTCTTTAGTTCGTTTTTGATTCACTTTGATCTCATTCCCCTCGCCGGGACTCCAGAACACTGCAGTGCACCCTTCCCCTCCGGAACGCACGCTCTGCTTGCTTGGATATGCTGAGAGAGGAGGATCTGTCGATTGGGATGTTAACCTTCATACGAATAGTCATACTCCACCTTCCACCATGACTCGTTCTTATCATCATAGTTTGCTTGCCTCTCTCTCTCTCTCTCTCTCTCTCTCTCTCTCTCTCTCTCTCTCTCTCTCTCTCTCTCTCTCTCTCTCTCTGCAAGCTCTATGCGTCGAGCGACGCATTCACCGCCGATCTACTGCTTGCCAGGATATGCAACAGATCGAGCTTAAATGCGACTCTTGAAGCAACTTAACTTGTACAAAATGTCTTCATTTGAGTTTGAAACGACTGCGTGCTTGACGAGAAGATGACAACACATCCTAAGCTTTTTAACGCAGGCTTGTAGTGTACATGTAGTGAAACCAGCGTTAATACATGTAATCGCATCATGATGCCAGCAGCTCGTTGTATGCTGGCACAGTTCGACAACAGCACGATCGTGATGGCGGAGTCAGCAGTTGGCGCAGGAGAAGCGCTACGATCACCCCAGATTTAGTCTTTGTCGTGGATCGGTGCACGGCCAACCACACAGGTATTGTGACGCGGACGCATTCATGTCCGACGGTAAAAAAAAAGAAGAGGCCATCATCATCCTCGCTGCAAGAAAAATAAACTACGGTACTAGTATTTCGCATGCGACTGAATGTGTTGCCATTGGCAACTTGCCAACAGCATCGGATTACGTTGCCAGACGCGACGCATGCTTTCAGCTATCTCGGTTTACTAGAAATTGTAGCAGATCATCAGCTTCAATATCATCCTTTTATTTAAGTATTTGGAAGTCAAATCAAATATTCTTCCAAATTGATTTGACACTTTAGGAGCACAGAACGAATTGTGCAATAATTGTACAGTCAATCAAAGCGAAGAGCAAAATTATGGCGACCAAACGCGCTCGTTCGCACTCACCTCCATCAATCCACGTCCCCCCTCCACGTAACACATTTGCCACTCGCGGCTGGGTCTGCATCCCGAACCTTCTGTCACTTTCAGAACTGCGCGTGCTGCAGTCCGAGTGTAGCGAGCTCTACGCTCGTGAATCCACCGAGTCCATCGCCGCTCAAGGATGCGTTCTGGACGGCATGGCACAGTGTCCGGTACATTTTTACATTGACTTGTTCTTGCAAGTCGTATTATTATTTAATTATGACTAACGACGATAAATAAAAATGTTCTCTAGATGCACGATTCCGACCTGGCGCGAGTACGCTCTAGTTGTTACCTGCAAACTCGCACCAAACAGTTAAAGAGCAATACCGTTGATACGGAGATATTCGAGTTGCTACTCTTTGAAAAGCTACCAGCAATTGCTGGACAGCTGATGAAAAGTTATGAAAAGGCTGAGACGGGGACGGACATGTTTTTCTTCAACGAACACTACGTGGTGAAGCCTCCGAGAAGCCACGTGGAGTTTCGTTGGCATCGAGACGACGACGAGCAACTCGCCATGTGCGTGCATCGGGACGAGATCCCAGCGTACATATCGGCCTGGTGTGCCTTGGACGATGTGACTGAAGTTAATGGTGCACTGCAGTTCGTGCCACTGGATGAGCTATCTGGGTCGGATGAGGAGAGTTTAAAGCGTCATGCAAGTGAACCGATGACAGCGAAGGCAGGAGATGTGCTGTTCTTCTTGTCAAATGTGTGGCACTTTTCCTCAAGTAATGAGTCGGATGGTGCTCGTCGAGCATTTTACGCGCAGTACTCAAGAGAGAGGATTACAGCTCGGCCGAATGATCCATCGCCGTTGAGTTTTGCGATTCCGTGCAGAGGATTGAACTCGGTATCTATGGGAGAAGAAGCCACGAGGAATGGGAATGACATGGTGAACAAGAAAATGATGCATAATTTGGAATAGATTTGCTTTACGTGACAGAATCGTTGTGGGCATTCGGAAGCAACTTGTCGTTGAAGGTGGCGGATATAGCGTGCTTATTACTTGTGGGACAAAGAAGTACATTAATCTAGAACCGATGTATGTTGCGGCTAATGAAGCTCGCCAATACCAATGCAGTTCTAACTTAGAGCTTTTAAGTACTCGTGGGTTTCAAGCTAAGCAAAAAATTCGAGTATTCTGGAGTTACGATCAGTAAAGAAACTGAAAAATCACATTGGCAGGCCCCCAGTAAGGGTCGCTGTCATCGACTCGGCGATGGCTGCTGCTGGTGGTGGTCTATGGAGCTGCTACTTTTTCTTGGTGGTAGATTCACGACCATACATTTTTCTCTACTTTTCATCAGCTTGGACCATACAAAGAACAAGTCAACCAAAGTCTCCCGTTTCCTTGGGGCGAGTAAGTTCTTTGCCAAACCTCACAGTAATCACTGCTGCTCTACGGTAGAACTACCGGAATAAGAAAACACAATCGGATCCTTACCGCCGCCACTGCCCCCTCCTCTTCAGCCACGCAAAACGTCCCCCAAGCAACGTCAATGACTATGCATGTGAAGCAGTGCAGCAGTGCACGACAAATACATGTATGAAATCCGCTATTGTGATCATCACGCTGACTTCAGAAAGCAAAAAACTGCGCAAGTATAGTCGTCAAGACCACCGGAGAGCTTCCCGCCTAAGATCTCAACGCAAATGAACGCGCTGTTTTCGCTTGCCCTCATTGAACCATCAAAAATCTTGCGAGTTGGTAGTACCAACTTGGTTCGTCGCAGCATACGACGCCTGGCTCAGATGCGCAAAGCGTGATGGATGAGTGTCATTTCGGAGTCGATACGATCGCGCTGCATCGTCGACCCCATTGTAAAGTTTTCGTAGTTAACAACTGGTACTGCTGGCCTATCTGCCAATGTAAGTTGCGAATCGCAACACGAGCAGTGTATGACTGACTGATACTTAAGTAAACAGTTTACGGCCGACAATGTACTCACCATGACGATCTCGGACCAATGATTCATGCTTTTTTGCTCGAAAGATCTCCTGAATCATTTGGAGATTACTTCGATCAGCACAACAAGGCAAACAACCAAGCAGATATGCCTAGAAACGCTTCGCTCTGCGCTTCCGTAATGCCGAATCCCAGCGATGCGATTACGATCTCTATCCACTGTGGCAGTGGTGATCATGCAACGTCTATCATTCTACCGCGGCACCATCATCTCGCAAGAAAACTGGAGGAGCTCGTGTCCTCCGGTATGACGACCCAAACGCAGCCTCTAGCACAGCAGCCAGACGTTATCCGTGCGTTGTCATTGGTGGTAAAATACATCAACGACTCACGCCATGAAGGCCCAGATTCATCGATCGCTGCTCTCTTCAACTCGCTTTGTCCGCCACCACGCCGTGTGAGCGCTTATGTTGGTGATGCCCAGGTATCAAGTCAACGGGCTTATCATCATCCACCTGAACAACCAGTTGCCCGCACAAGATATCGTCGCGGTGGCAAACACTGTGCTCGAAGTGTCAAACACTGCAACGTTATTGGGTGTGATAACATCTCAGTGAGTCATGGTTTGTGCCGTGGACATGGTGGCGGTCGTCGTTGCCATTATATGGGCTGCTCGAAGAGCGCTCAGAGCCGCAGCGTGTTTTGCTGGTCGCATGGTGGCGGACGCCGTTGTGAAGTGGAGAGCTGTATGCGCTGTCGAAAGTCAAAGCACTTCTGTTCCGCCCACGTGCACTTGGAAAAGGCTTCACCAAAAACGTATCGAAGAGGAGACGAGTTGCTGATGATGATCTTGAACGACGCCAACGAATACCCCGCTCCAAGACACACGCCTTACTATGCAACTCTGCCGAGTCTGCAAGAAGCATTGAAGAATACGCAACACACGTCGATGATAGATTAATCCGCTGAGAGGACGGTGTTGAATGAAATCTGCAGCATTAATTTCCGTAATGCCTCCAAGTTCCGTAGTGAGTCACCAAACAGAATATCAGTCAGGTATCTAACTAGAAACTCTAGTCGAGAACAACATGTCAACAAAGCGGGTATAACTCATTCGCGGTTGTCTTCAATGTTATTCCATCCGCCATGATTTTATCTTCCTTGCCTATCTCATGCTGTAGTCAACAAAGAGTACAGCTTTTGAGGATCTGTATCTAGAGTTTGATTGCCATATTGGCCTAGAAAAAATAAATCTGAATCAGGTTAGTTGACTGCGTAAAATGCGAGGGTTATGATACTATTGGCTAGATGCTATTATAATTAGAATTGACTAATAAGCTGTAGCTCAAACTCTGGAAGCACATGGGCTAGCGCCCTGAAGTCCAGGCGCTATACTATTGCAATCATATTGTTAAATCTATCAGAAATAGATATTCTCGCAAAAACAAAATAATTTTAGTGCATCTGAAGTTTATATTCGTGTGAAATCTATCATATATCTTGTCTTTCTTGTAAGTGAGATGCATGTACAGTATATGTCATTTATTTTATTTCGGTTAGCAATTTCAGTTATCGTGCGTATACATACTTTCCATCGTGATGAAGATGTCCTTCTTGCAGCGCAGCACGAGCGATACAATAATGGTACTTCCTTTTAAGACGAACGCCATAACGAGGCTGCGGAACAGAACTAGAGATTATTGCATTATTTTTTTTTTTTTTTGCTTCTGTGCTGGAATGCCTCGCGTTCTGTATTCCTATTCCAAGCTAAAATACTTTGAAGTAGATGTTTATCGTATTGTGGGCATCCTTGATTGTGCCCTCACTTAAATCAGTACTACAGAGCCTCTCTCTAATAGTTATCAGATTGTAATCATTGGTAAAAAGCGTATTTTATTATGCCATCCCCCCTCCTTTCTCTGCTGTTTGTGTCACTGACGCATAGTGAGTTGGTTTTCTCTCTTTACCAGCATTGGTCTTTCCTCTTTCAAGCAGCTATAAAGTTAATAAGGCACACTTGTACATGTAAATATATCGCACAAATCGCTGCGATTTGATTTCAACGGCTATTTCACTACAACATGGGACATACATCCCTCACTCAGTGCGGGGTCACCTTCACACTCGAAGGGTAATATACAACTCTGATAATAATTGAGGTGCAGCCGCTTCATCTGCAGCCACAGCCCCCGTCCTCTCTCGACGTGCCTCCGCGTCACAACAAGAGGGTGACTCATCATTTCGCGTCCAGGTCACCTGCCACGCAGCGTCTAATATCGCAGGCGACCATCTGGCAACGCGAGGCCTTCGAGATGACTTGCAGTCAAGTTACTCCATGTTCCGGCGGCGTCCAACGCCCTTCCGATACCGAAGCGCCTTCTTGGCCAACAGCACGTTGCTCCGAGTACCCAGAGCGTTGTTGTTAGCGGCTAGAGCCTCGAGGTTACTGAGCTTGGAGCTGTATTCGCTCCTGGCGTCCTCGAACACAATACCTTGGGCCGTGCAGATGAAGCTCTCAGACTTGGAACGATGCTGTAGCGCCAACAAGGGCTCGCCAGTGTGGTCTACAGCCAGCATGAGAGGATGGTGGTCGTCCACAGGTTCATTGGGCAGCGGCACAGAGCAGGCTGGGTTCTCCTCATCCTCTTCCAAAGTGGCCAAATAGTGGTGCTTGTAGCTCTCTGACATCGAACGGCGTGGTGGCGAGATCGACGTCATGGTGATTGAGAGGAACTTGTTACGGACCGAGCAAATCTCTGAATGGGGGGGACCAGTAGGGTCCATTCGGCCGAGTCGAGTCCATCGTAGCTTGGTATGTCACTGGTGGAAATTTCCGCCGACGACTCATCCCAACGCGATTTTTGGAAGTTTTTTTTTTTTTTTTTTTAGATAATTCCGCCCTGCGATGACTATTAAACTTAGCCACTTCCTTTGCAACTTCGCAGGGCTAAATTGTGCGTTTATGAAAACACAGGAGGATTACATATACGATGGCGTGAGGAACTGGCGACTCGGTGAGTCTTTGGCAGCATCGCATCTCGCAGTCCAGTCACTGGGCTCCACAGGCGGAAACAGTTAGCGGCTCCGACTGATTTAGGCAAAGCCGTCAACTCCTTAGTGACAATGGTGTTCAACAACTGTGCGTTTTGCGCTAAATGATTTCCTACGATTAGCTGACTTCAGGACTCTACGTTAGTGTAGATTCTTTGATTGGTCTAAAATTTAGCATCTTAAAGCTTTTAATGGATTCTATTGGTCAATTCCCACAACAATTACTTTGCAGCAGACAGCTTTGTCTCCGATCTTTGCATAGCCATGCACACACTTCAACCACGATTTCCAAGTTCAGTATGGGTATGGTATTTTTTACCGTGCGCGCCCGCAGCTGTGTTCTTCTGGCATAAATGCACTAATTCGTTCTACTTGCTGAGCCGATGCGTTTTTCCATCGTTGTAGTGAATCTGGTGGGCTCTGTCCGGAGATGCCCATTGCAGACTCGAATGAGACTGCTAATTCGCGACGTAAAAGGTGTTAACGGAGAAGTTACCGCTAACGCAGGTGCTTTGTACGAACTCCTGTTCTGTACAAACAGTAAATTGCAGTCTTTTCTGGCGCCGTTGGAGATTCGAAAATAGGCGGCTTCATGATGAAGTTAATTGCATTTATCTGGAACAAAACTCGACGAACCGGGCTGAGTCGCCACAATAATTTCGAAACCTCCTTAGGTATCGGTCTTACGCACGGCGGAAAGCCGCAAGGACAGACACGGATGACTGGAGCACATATTTCCGCTTTTCCCTAAGACTAGACAACATGAAGCAACATGAGCTTCATCTAGAAGCTTGTCTGGGCCTGCAATAAAGACTCTTTGAGTGTACTATACGTTAATATCGTTGAAATTATGGATGCACGAGTCACGACGGCTCAATACTTCTGCAGAATCCAGGTGAGCCTCAAAAAGCGGCAGAAAAGGCCAGCGATCCAAGGCCAAGTCGAGTGCATCGCAGGTTTCACAATGCAATTCACTCGTCGCAATCGCCAGTTTTTGTGAGAAATAACGGATGATAACGGACATGGTGAATACCGCCTAGTGGCCAGCTCTGCTCAGCTGCGGGACCGTCCATGGTGGCACTGCGTCGGCCTACGGAGAGCTCCAAGGCGGCGGTGGCCACAACCACCAAGTCCCTATCCGCCGTATCACTAACCAAGAAGACGGTGCGTATTCTTTGTGATCACCTTTGTGGTAATTATTAGTTTGATCATTTTCTTCTTCTTGTTTAGAATGCTTTGGAATCATATGTTGAAGAGCTCAAGAACAACCTCGAGGTATGGCAGGTTAAGTAGAATTGATCGTTAATTTATCACACGCTGAAGCGCTGCTTGCGTACAGGTTCAAAGCCGAGAAGTGACACAACGAGATGAAGCGCTACAGGAACTAGTAGGCAAGGTGATGATCATCGATTTTTCGTGATGTCATGGATTAGATACAATTTGTTAACTACATATCGCCTTGTATGCTTTTATTAGGTAGATATGCTGCACGACGCCTTCAATTCACTGTCTGACGTCGTCACATGTGAAGTCGGTGTGTATACACCCGATATACTTTAAATTTTCTTCTTCTCATTTTTGTTTTTTAATTCAGAGGAAATACAGAAGCAGATTGCGACCACTACCTCGCAATTGCAGGATCGGGTAGCTAAACTGGAGCATTCTATAGGATTGCTGGAGTCTCAAGTGCCTCGTATGGATGGCAAGCGCCGACAACTTCAGGAAACATCGGAACGGCGCTTTCTCACTATCCAAGAAACCTGCTCTAAGATCGAGTTGGCTATTTACGAGACCCAATCGGAGCTAGCTCATGTGAAAAATGCCTCGGAAGATCTCATGACACGAGAGCGAGAGGCTGCACATTTGCAGAAAACCCTACAGCTCTCACAAGAAGATGCGGTGGACGCTCTAAAGCGACTCAAAGAAGAGAGTAGCCAACTCCAAGTGGAGCTCTTCGCTCTTAAAGAGCATACAACTGGAATTACCACGTCAGTTGCGAGTGATGTTCAAGTACTAGCGACAGAATATTCGACACTTCGAGGCTTAGTATCGAAGCAACAATCTCAGTGGTTAGGCCAACTCAAGACACTACAAGAAACTTTTGACCGACAAGGAAAACTGGACAAAACGCAGCTTTCTCAACGATTGGATACACTATCCGATGCTGTTGCATCACAAGAACATCGTACAAAAAATGCGGTTGACAATCTACTGAAAAATCATACTCGTATCCGATGTGCAGTCGATGAAGGCATGGAGATCTGTTCGCGAGAGGTCCGAGCGTTGAGTAACGAGGTGAAAGCTATTGAAGCCGACCAACAAGAGAAATTCGATCAGGTTGTTCAGCAAATGGCTACGAGCTCCATTGAATGTGATCAACGATACGACGAGCTTCATCTCGCGCTTAGATCGATCGCACATCGGCTCAAAGTCTCGCTGTAGTGAGGCTGACGCCGTCTTATATACTATCCTATACAAATAATATAGACCTTTTTCATCTTGAAAGATCACCTATCTTCCAGCTTCACACGTAAAACGGGTCGGCCTCCCTCGAATTCTCGTTCACGGGTACAGCCTCGGGAGTCACGTATTTCTTTTTGTACTTGTCCTTGAGTGACGCGTATTTGCTTGAAATGTCCTGTACCAACAAATAATAAAGTTAGTATGGGATGTAAGTACCAAAAGTTCACAAAGTCTCCCACCTTCTCCTTCTTGACCGCCAGCAACTCCTCGTCCAAATCCCGAAGTGTATTTAACTGTTGGTAGTGGTATTTTCTGTGACGCCGTGCACGATGGAGTTCACTACTACAGCAGAATCTCAGTACTTCCATTACGAACAGCGTCAACAGTCCGTAAGCCGGAATGAATTTGTCCTCTTCAAGTCGACGCAATTGCTCATCTCTAAAAAAAAATCAAATAAGTTCACATAAATACTCACAAACGTCCAAAAAAACCACTTTTACGTACGTGATCTTGAGTTCTTGTTGATGTTCCCGCAGGAATCGATCAATAGTGGATCCTTGGGTCAGGATCACCACAGCCAGCACCAGTTCGGCCAATGCGAGGAGGATAAGCAGGTATGACGAGCACGAGAGACACACCGAGCAGCTCCGATTAGATGCTCCACACCAGCTCATTAGCGCCGACAGAATGAGCAGAGCCCCCACGGCCAGAATTGGCCCGTAAAGCCATTCAGGAGCATAGTGGTTTAACCCTGTAGTCGGTTAAGTTGAATTGAAAAGAATAATTAACAAAGAGAATCCTGATATCAGAAAATGAAATCTGCAGTACCGATGTAGAGGCTGTAGACGGTGAGTGCCACACCGAACAGCAGGTCCACGCCATTGAAGACGAAGAGCGCGCTGCCGGAGCAGCACTCACTGCACGAGTCGCCGCACATTGTTCTTCGCTGCAAGCCGAATTTACTGTCAGCGTAAATGTGCTCTTCAACTGTTATGTGCTTTGTAGAGCAAAAAAGCAAGTTGAAGTGGTTGCTCTTGTCGCCGTTTTCGGATTAACTGGTGAGGAAATGGAAGGATCGAAGACTGAGTGAACATCCACTGCTCCAAGTCACATACTGTTGAAACTTAAAACAGTACATGTATGTCTTGTGCTTGTTCAACAAGTTTAATAACACTTTTGAAATGTTTATCGATTGTTCAAAACTAAAAAAAAAACTTGTTACTTAAAATATTTTACTCTGGTGATGTAGGCGTCTATAGTTTGAGAAGAATTGGCGATATTTCCATCGCCATCGTGTTCCTTGTCGTTTGGTTCTCTATGGTCCAGTCGAAATGGGGCAGCTCTGCATTCGCAGTGGAACTACCGGGGATCGCGTTGCACCGTTTGGTCGTCGAGAGCGCATTTCGCGGTACTTGAGCGCCTTCTTAGCGATCAGCGCGTTTCGCTCCGAGCTTTCGGGGCTCAAAGCGGTCTCAACCAGTCGCTCGGCCTTAGCGACAATCTCGCGCTGGAATTCCTCGTCCTGGAAGACCACACCGTCGGACGTTCGTACGTACAGCTCCGTCATAGAGAAACGGGCGAGCGACGCTTGAAGCTCCTCGGCAGCGTTGGTGCACCCTTCAGATCGTGAGCGTCGTCGAGGGCCCATCTTGGAGGTCTTTAGACTTGTTGTAGTGGTGCCAGCCATGATAACTAAGGGGTTTAGCGAGGAACTGGGTCTTTAGCTGTCGAATCCGAAAATGAGCCGATTAGGTCGGGTGCACAAGCGGGCTGCGGCGGTGGCTACCGTGCTGGAGAGTCTCCAGAGCCACTGGAGAGTGGCCAGACTGGCCACCAAGTGGCCACATCAAGCCTGGCTGCCAGCGTTACTCCGTGCGAAAGGCGGTGGGATTTTTTCTTGAAAATGAGACGAAGTCAACACTTCTGAGAATGCCCATTGCGCGGCTTCGACTGCAATTTTTCACGCTCGACTCATTGCATTCGAGGCCAGGTCTGGAAGCTGCTAACAAGAGTGTGGGGACACAGCGTCAGCAAGTGCATTCTGACGGGATAGCCAACATAACAACCCATCTAGTCAATTGATCGAGACGAAACGCGGGTCAGCGATGGCCAGTGCTACGATGAGAGAAGGTTTTTCTACAATCCACACACACAGGATGATCCCGACGCCGTCCGGCCCGAAGGTTCCCGGCTGTAAATGACTTGAAGCTGAACTCATTGACTCATTGAGTTCAACTCGGCAAACGTTGCGTCAAGTACATGAAAAATAATCGATCGATGAATGGAACTTTAGCTGCGTGTCATGCTAGTGAGTCGATGGTCATGATTTACTGCTCGATTCCTTCGTGAGGTGCCGCATTTTCAGACACCAATCTCTGCCAGTTCTAGAGGGTTGGCAAAAATGGAAGCCCGTAGCAGAACACAGGAGAATGGAGCGCGCACAGCAAGCATAAATCATAGTCGCGCTTTCGTCGTAGACATGTCGTCTCCTATGTATCCTAGTCAGCGTTGGGACACACGTGAAACATTGATTGTTGATCTTCCGCTGGACTACCCTCAGTCCGTGTGAGCTAGTCGAAACGGTATCAACTACACTAATACCTAGTGTGTTGCACATTGTACGTGTTGCACATTGTACTCGACGGCATCTCTATGCTTGACGTCTTTTTGAACATACAGTATGCAGACAACTACAAATGGCTTCAACTTGAAATGAAAAAAAAAAAAAAAAATGAAATTAGCTTCTGTCACCGAACGTTCGTGCATTACAATGTGCATCATTCCTTGATATCAAACCGACTCAGTGACACCATGGGCTCGTGCTCGGAATTTCTGGCAAGTGCTGGGCTCTTCATCTTCAACGCCGTAGACCTGGTTGCAGGCATCGCACTGTGCGTCTACAGTCTCTACATCGGCACAAACCACTTCGCTCCGTTGTGGCTCTATGGTGCGTCGCTGTTGGAAGAACATTCAATATCTTGGAAGTCTCAGTCTCACCGAATGTATCGTAGTCCCCTTGCTGGCAATTGGCAGCGTTCTAGTGGTCGCATCACTTATGAGTGGCTTCGGACTGGCATTCCGAAGTTGCTCGGGCTGCATGGCGCTGTCATCTGATGTGTTGCTATGGATTTCGCTCGCTGAACTTGGTCTGGCCGTCGTCATCTTCACTCAAGGAGGAACTATCAGCAGATTCTTGCGTGAACACAGCAACGAACTCAAGCTCAGGTAGGTCTATTGCCTACCGATATCGTTGTAAGACTGCTAATAGTTTCTTACTTGTATTTACTGGAAAGTGGAGATGAATTGGCACAGTATGAACGTCACAAGTTCTATCCGGCGTATGCGTTGCTGGCCTTGTGCTTGGTGGAAGCTCTACGCCAACGCTACAGTACAACACTGCACAACGCGAGGCTTCGTCGACAGTACCAATACGAAATGTTGGCTTAAGCTACCTTACCACCCTCCATTAAGAATTAGGAATTTGGTAAGAATGGTCGAACCACATTGCTGTCATTATCACTAATAAATCGTGTTTCGATCGTCTGCGTGGCCATCGGAGGGTTCAGCGCTCCCGGTCTTCCCGGTCTCTAAACTGGCAGCTCTCAGACGCTTTTCCGCTTGTTGAGGCTTCACTTTCTTCTCCTTTCTGCCACCGAAACGCAGCAACTCGAAGCACTTGTGCGTCCAGGACTTGACCGTGAGACCGAAGCCTTTGACGCCCTTGCCTTTGACGACCACTGGCTCAGCGTGTTGGATCTCATCGTTCGAACTGAGGTCGAGCGTGAAGTTGGCGAGGAACGGCAGTTCGTCGCGATGGAAAGCGTACAACACCGAGAGCTTGTGTTTGTCGTGCTTGACGTGCTTTGCCTTATGATTCGAAGCAGCTTTGTCCTCGTCTTGCTGCTTCAACCGAGCAATCGTCGAGACTGACGGATCTCCACGCACAGAGCGGAAGCCGCTGGTAATTGCCGGTCTGCGGCAGCTCTCGGGTAGACAGAGCAGCACACAATCCTTGTCCTTGAAGTGCTCAAAGACTAAATCACAAAACAACATTTAGAAGCTCTAAATTTTAGAACTCCATGACTCAGAAACGTACCATTAGCGAGGAACAATGGGGCACGCGTCTGGTACATGGCGTTCATACTGAAGAGCGAGATAATCGCCGCATTGTTGCGGAGCAAGCAGCGCTCCGCCCCGCCCAGCAGTTGCTCAGCTACCTGGTCCACGGAGCGCGTTCCGTCCGCCTGGATCAGCTCACACACGCCTCCCAATGTCGAGACAACGGCCTTACTGTGAGCATGGAATTGCTCCAGTCGAGTCCGCACAGTCTCCTCTGTGTCGTCTGTGCGTTGAATGACTCGCTCAGCCACATCCGACGGTGGAGGGTTGAATTCCATGTGGTACGTTTTGCCGGTCTGCGGGTCGAGACGTCGACCAGCGATGCGCTTCACCACTTCGTCGTCTGGAACGTCAAGGGCCAACACACAGTCGGGGATGATCCGTGCGGCCAGTAGCGCTTGAGCTTGAGCTTCCGTGCGTGGGAATCCGTCTAGCAGCCAGCCTTGAGTCTTGCAATCTGGTTGTGCCAGACGCTCCAGCACCACATTAACAATGAGCTCATCTGGAACCAGTTGACCGTTATCCATGTAGCTTTGTGCTTGGTTACCCAGCGATGTGCAGTCACGAATGGCTTGACGAAGCATATCGCCAGTGGACAAGTGTACGACGTGCAAGGCACGCACCAGAAGTTCACATTGAGTGCCCTTGCCACTCGCTGGAGCGCCCGTGATGATTAACCGTGGAGGGTTTCTGACTCGAAGGGGTCCTCGAGATCCTCGAGCTCGGTGGATCTCATGCACCAGTTTCTTTGTAGTCGCGTCGCGGGATTTAGCGGCGTCAACGTGGATAATGGTGGAGATCTTGACGAAGTTCTGCTGTACTGCCTCACGGTGCTCTCGATAGACTGCGAGTCTTCGGCCAACTGGAGCTTCCCTGGCTCCGACACCATCACGCTGACTTGCATCGTCATCTGAGAGCTCCAGAATGGCTACAAGATCGGGCTTCGCACCTTGACTCAACAGTACACGCGCTTGAGTGTCTGTGCGAGGATACCCTTCAAGTAACCAGCCACGAGTCTTGCAGTCTGGTTGAGTGAGCCGATTCAACACGATATCTTTGACTACGTCGTCTGGAACTAGGTCTCCAGCGCTGATAAACCGGGAAAGGTCAGCATGTTGATTAGTTGGGTCATTCGCTGCTTCACGGAGCAAGTCTCCAGTACAGACGTATACAACGCCAAACTCTCGAGCCAGCCTCGTGCTTTGAGTGCTTTTGCCAGCTCCTGTGGGACCAAGAACGATGATATTGGGCGGTCCACCAGAAGACCGAGCGAGATTCCTCGTAGGAGCTGGAGATGGAGCAGGAGCGATCGATATTCTAGCGCCTGGAGGGGCTGACGTCGCAGGATTCGAAGGTTCAGGGCTCGAAGGTTGGGGATCGTCGTGTATTAGATTTGCCTTGCGATACATGTCCGAGAACAGTCGAGCATAATTATCCACCTGATCCGTGTCGATGGAGTCTGTACAGGCCAACAAGCCGCATGGCTGCTGCGTGTCAACACATTGCGCAACGAAGCACGCTCGGTGTTCGTCCTGGTTTGATAGTACACGAGTTGGATCTGTGGCAACATCGAACCAAGTGTGAACTGCATGTCGTTTAGCCTCTTCGTTCGTCTTCACCATCGCCTGGAGTCGATCAATCTCCGCATCAGTAGACAATGCTTGTCGTACGAAAACACTGGGAGTGTAGTCCGTGCGAACGGCACGGTAGAACATGAGTAGTCCACCAGTACTAAGCCCCACAGCCTCGTAGCACGAAAAAATCTGCGACAACACCCCGAGCTCCTCCAAGTCCACACCGATATGCGCTGCCAGAACGACTCCACCAAGTTCCGGCCGAATAGTGAATAATTGATGCAGCAGAGCCGGAAGCACCTTCCGCTCACTAGCCACTGCCGGGTCATAACGGAACGCCACGAGCAATAGACAGCCTTGAGGTTTACCAAATAGAAGCCTCTTTTTCAAATAGTCGCGCACTTCAGGCCAACGTGCTAGAGCTGCAGGGATCTGGTCGTCGAACGATGCGAAACCTGCCAGCGTTGCATGACTCGTAGCTGCATTTCCTTCACTCGAGGTAGCAGCATCTTTGACCTCGGCACAAAGTGTGACTTGTGACGTCTCAATCAAGGCGCCAGCATGGGTGAGTCCGAACAACTTGCGTCGCGTACTTGACTCCGGTGCAGGCAGCAATTCCACCGCCGCTTCGTCGGCTTCGACACACGCACGAACGGCCAGGTCCATTGTCTTGAGCCAAGCTGGTTACCCGCGATGTGGGGTGGAAAACAAAAAGTGTCGGACAGGAATAGCGGACTATTTCGAAGTGGTTTGCTTGTCGGCACAATACGAGATGAGAACGAGCTACGTGTATTCTCGAGCACCGAATAACGGATTCACCACAGCTGAGGGCTGTATGACGCTCTGGGTTGTCGGGACATCCCATGCATGGTGTCAACGAAGTCTATGCCGCAGGTTTGCTCACACGTCGCAGGAATTTATGTGTACCGTATTTGTGGTACCGATAAAATTGTATGCTCCACTTCGAATCTTGAGGATGGCGCCACGTACAGCTCCAGACTCGCCGGAGGCTGGCACCATGCGGATGCGGATGCGATTCTTGGCCCCTTACTACGTTTGCAATGCCATTGCACTGCTCATGTATGTTCCAATCCGCTATCAACGCAGCAGTGAAGCGCTGCTGGAGAGAGAAAACTTCCTCAACTTACCACTGGTACAGCCTCATTTAGCGTCTTTCAGCATTGCTTGTTTGAGTATTTTTATTCGTTAATTACTGAAATTTATCATGTAGGAGCAAGAAATTTTCTTGCTAGCGCTAGGTTCGTGGCTGCTGAATTATCGCAAAAAGGCAACAGCAGACGGCGTCATCGCGCTCTTCTTCATGTACGGCAAGATTGCTGTCCTGGCGTCACTTTACTACTTGGACATCACCCTGTTCGGGTGGTACGCGGTCGTCTGTTTAGGTAATAATGTCGAAGCTGGAGAAATGCTTGAATGGGGATAATGCTAACGTCATTTGTTGTGAAGTGCTGTTCGCGGCGGTGGGACAACCCAGATACGAAGGTCCATCCAAGATAGCTGAGCTGGACCCTGCAGCTGTGGAAAAGCTGGTCAAAAAACCTGCTGGATCCAAGAAGAAGGGCCCGCCTAACTCATGGCTTGTTTTCTACTACGCCGACTGGAGTGACTCCTGCGTGGAGCACGAACCCATGCTCGCTGACCTCTCGCTCAGGTTCGTTTGTGATACCTGGAGTTGCGTGGTCTTTAAGACGAGAGCAATAGATGAACCCTTGCGTTGTGTGCCAGATATTCCTCGAGCACGCTGCAATTCGGCCGGGTTGACGTGAATAAGTGGTCGGACCTGGCTGTGGAGAACCGGATCAATGTGTCCACGTCGTCGTGGCAATTGCCGACCTTGGTCCTTTTCCAGGACGGCGAAGAAGTCATGCGCTTACCTCCAATTGACGAGAACGGAAAAGTCACGAAGACGGTGCTCGACCGGGTAAGGACGCAGCGGTTCTATTGATCACAGCTTTGTAGAAACTGCCAAGGCTCTATTGACGGATTTCTCACCGTCTTGTATTTGGTAACGCATTTAGGAGGGCCTTATTACTGTTTTCAAGCTCCAGGAGCTGAAAGAGGGCAAGCCGACGGCATTTAAACCGAAGATGAGCTAGGACATGATGTCGATTGTATCACGCTATACTGATTCTGATCCGTTTGTTTTGTACTAAGGGATTTTAAATGGAATTACTCTTGCGGGAAAACCAGGGCAATAGCAGTACTTGTTGCTGAAGGAAACCTTCCTTTTTTTGAGTTCCAGGAGTGCGTAAGATACTGGTGTGGTAAACATAACGGCAGCAATCAGACCATCACTCCTCAATGTACCTGACGCAAGCGCGTCAGCGCTAATGACGTACATGTGATGCGGTGATCAGGACACGCCTCTCAAAAACGTATTGCCTTCCATGCTATCAACACGGGTGGATTAATAACGAGAAGCTGGTGATGGCAAACCCACCAGCAGCCAAACAGCATGCTGATGATCTAATCATCCAATTCTAGGCCTTCTGATGACGTTGTGTTCTGTTTGCAGGACTCGCTGTGCCTTTCCTTGTTTCTGGATAATGCATGTTTCGACATACATTTCGCGCGAGCCGTCTATCTGACAATTGTCTACTGGATAGGTGATTTGAGGATCTCTGTTTGTAAAAAACGATTTTCAGCGCCATTCATAAGCTCGACCATGCGGAATACAGGCGAAAAACGACTGCCCGACCTCTTTGAAGTGCTTACAGATGGGATTAACTTCAGATTGGGTATGCAAGGACCCTTTACAGACTCAGCTCAAAGTAGGAAGATGCATGTACATGTACCGTAAGCGAGATGGCCGGCGGAAGATGCATGCATCTACGCGTAAGTACACGCATCTAAGGTGTTCTTTCAACAATGATCTCTATTATACAAGACATACATGTAAGACGACATTGCCGTACCAAGGAGAAGTTGTCTTTCGTTTTGATTATGGCTGTGGCATGATTGGTCCGAGGAGGGACCAAACGGTTTGGTTGTTTGGTCCAAACCAGACCCTCATCTGCTTTGGACTGTAAAGTGATCCCAACATACTCCGCATACGGTACCAGTTTCACCCAAACGTATGGCAAATTGTATGCTCCTCACGAACGAGATCGCAATCTCAAAGTTTGAGTCAAACAAGTCGCTTTTTGTTGTCATGTCGTCAAGCCTAAGATCGGCCAAGATTCTCCACCTCTCATTCGCGCAAAAATAAACCAATCACAACTCGCCGCCCCTTCAGTTCAAGTTTGGAGCAAACTTTCCCACACGCCGCCAAACCGACGCCTCCAGATCCAACAGCACTATTGAATCTGCCACGTGCCACCCAAGTCGCCGCACAAGCCCTAGCAAGACCTACAGCAAGCCTAGACCATAATTCCTTTATCAACCATGTCCGAGTTCAAAATGACCATTTGCTGCATGGGCGCCGGCTACGTGGGCGGCCCTACCATGGCTGTGATCGCCGCCAACTGTCCGGACATCAAGGTGGTCGTCGTGGACGTGAGTGCGCAGCAGATCGCCAAGTGGAACGCGCCCGATGAGATCCCCATCTACGAGCCTGGCCTTAAGGAGCTCGTGGACGCGCGTCGAAACAAGAACCTGTTCTTCTCCACAGACCTGGACAAGTACATTAACGAGGCCGACATCATCTTCGTATGTGTCAACACGCCTACTAAAACCAGCGGTATTGGCGCTGGTAGCGCCGCAGACACGAAGAACTGCGAGGCCTGCGCACGTAAGATCGCAGACGTGGCTACTGAGGGCAAGATCGTCGTAGAGAAGTCCACCGTGCCCGTACGCACGTCCGAAAGCATCAAGGCTGTGCTTCGAGCCAACTCGAAGGGTCTTAAATTCGAGGTGCTCTCGAACCCGGAGTTCTTAGCCGAGGGCACAGCTATCGACGACCTGCAGAAGCCTAGTCGTATTCTGATTGGTGGAGCCGAGACTCCAGAGGGCCACGAAGCCGTGGAGAAGCTTGTAAGCGTGTACGCCCACTGGGTGGAGCGTGAACGCATCATTACCACGAACGTCTGGTCCTCGGAGCTGTCCAAACTGGTGGCCAATGCCTTCCTGGCCCAGCGAATCTCGAGCATCAACTCGATCTCGGCTGTGTGCGAAGCTACAGGCGCGAATGTGCACGAAGTGGCGCGTGCAGTCGGTGCGGACGACCGTATTGGCGCCAAATTCTTGAACTGCTCGGTCGGTTTCGGCGGCTCGTGCTTCCAGAAGGATATCTTGAATCTAGTATACCTGGCCGAGAGCTTCCACTTGCCGGAAGTGGCCGACTACTGGCGCCACGTGGTGACGATGAACGAGTACCAGAAGACTCGCTTTGCTACGACCATGATCCGCCGGATGTTCAACACGGTGACGAACAAGAAGATCTGTATCTTCGGCTTTGCGTTCAAGAAGGACACTGGCGATGTGCGTGAGACTCCGGCCGCTACGATCGTCAAGTATCTGCTTGAGGAGAAGGCCAATGTGGCTGTGTACGACCCTCAGGTCAAGATTGAGGACATGATGCACGAGCTCGAATACCAGGGCGTGAACAGCACCAACCACCCGCAGATGGACAAGCTGCTTAAGGTGTATAACGATCCGTACGAGGCGGCTAAGGACTCGCACGCTATCGCTGCGCTTACCGAGTGGGACGAGTTCAAGACGCTGGACTACGCCAAGATCTACGAGAACATGACCAAGCCTGCGTTCTTCTTTGATGGACGCAATATTCTCCCGCATGAGAAGATTGCCGAACTGGGTGCCAAGGTGTACGTCATTGGCCGCGCCGAGGTTATCTCGGGTGAACTGCCCTTTTAGAGCAGAGTAACCAAGTAGTGAGCAGACATTTTTTTTAACTCTGCAGTGCTGTTGCTGAATGCCAGCGTTATACTCTTCGTGCTGTCTTCCCTTAACGTAAATCAAATCAAGCCTTGAGAGTCTGCTTAGCATGAGTCCGACACGATTTAGTTCTGTTCAGTGTACCACAATCGAAGTGCGTGTTCAAAACTCAACTCATGAGACAGTCAAGACCACTCCACGGCTCGACTAGCCAAAACGCACCGTAATAGCGATGCGCTAGCAAGTACTACATGTACCAATACAGCGCCCGACCGCAACTCCAAGTACAGCTACTCAATGAAGTTCTTATAGAGAAGATCTGTTGGTTGCTGTTGCTTTAAGTAAGCAAAAGCTATTGTATTGGGATTTTTTTTCATGTGACCGAATATTGTGGGTCTGAATAAAACTCTAATACACGAGTAATCAGAAAGTACCATGACACGTGTAAGACCGTTAATTCCTAGACAATGGGGAGTACTGCGACGAGGATTGTGTCGCTGTAGAGCAACCACCGCGAGCTGCAGTAACCTTGTACTTGTGCGGTGCTCCTGTGGAAGCGATCGTCCAGCGGTGACGCCTCTTGCGTCACGCTTCGAGTGATGATCCCAAATTGGCATTGGTACACCGTGCCCTAATTAAGGTACACTGTGCCGATATTGGCATAGAGAAATATTATGTACCCACAATTCTTTTAAATGGAATATCCTTTATACACTAAATATGAATTATTACCATTGTATCAGCTACGGCAGCAATACAAATTAACTTTTCTATTCACTTATAAAACAAAGAAGAACCAATTTGTATCACAATAACAAATCAGAGTAGGCAGATAAGTTCGGAGCGGATGTATCCGCCATGTACGTCAAGCAGTGGCCTTGCACACGAACTGTTCTGCCAGAACTTGAGCCTGTCGGAGCCATCATCACCGATTCATTCGTCGATCGGAGTCCAAGGTGGGAGGCAACGCACCGCATTCTCATTCAACGAGCAAATCGTCTCTATTCCTGTCTTGGCCGCTAAAAATGAGCACGACCGCATTGCTACAAGCCTCCACTTCGCCACCCCCGTCGCGAGAACCGGAATACGCCGCGCTGGAGCAGCTCGAGTCCCCTCTGTCCCATGCAATCGACATGGGGGTCAAAGTCTCACCGTCCGAGTCAGCGGCGATGGCAGGTGGTGCCTACGTGACCGCCTCGTCCAGTTGCGGTGCCTCGACCGTTAAGCACAATCCGTTCACATACACGACGCCCGTGGACACGTACGAGAAGGTCAAGATGACTATCCTGTGTCTATTGGGAGTCCCACTGATTCGCGTTGTGCTGCTACTCTGTGTGGGATTCCTACTCACGCTAGTAAGCCACTTGGCTCTCATTGGGTACAAGCCATTGGACGCTCACTCAGGAGCTCGTCCACCTCTGCCACGTTGGAGACGTATCGTTGGATCGCCCGTACCATATCTACTGCGGTCGTTGATGTTCATCGTAGGCTACTACTGGATCCCGGTCAAATACCCGCCGAATTTTAATCGCCGTACCATGCCACGCGTAATTGTGAGCAACCACTTGACGTTCTTCGACGGCCTCTACATCTTCACGTTGCTATCGCCCAGTATCGCCATGAAGACAGACGTAGCCAACCTCCCGTTGATCAGCCGAATCGTGCAGATGATTCAACCGATTCTGATTGACAGAGGAACCCCTGAAGGGCGTAGAAGAGCAATGAACGACATTACGTCGCACGTGGCCAATCCCAGCCAACCCCCGCTACTCGTATTCCCTGAAGGCACCACATCGAACCAAACGGTAGTTTGTAAATTCAAAGTTGGCTCCTTTGTCTCCGGCGTACCGTGTCAACCGATCGTGCTTCGGTATCCGTACAAACACTTCGATATGAGCTGGCCACCTGGAGTTTCGGGCCTGTACTTGGCTCTACGAGTGTTGTGCCAAGTGTACAATCGACTAGAAGTTGAGATTCTGCCCGCGTACTACCCATCGGAGAGAGAGCAAAGGGATCCTCAATTATACGCCAATAATGTCCGCGAGGTCATGGCCAAGGCGCTTGGAGTTCCCACAACGAATCACGCGTTCGAGGATGTAGCCATGCTGATGCGTGTCGGAGACTACGCCACTAAACACGTCGTACCGCTGACAGACGTCGGTGAAGTGATCTCGCTTACGGCATTGAAGCAAGGCGACGTGGATCGCCTCGTTGGGTACTTCCGTCAACACGATCTTGATAAGGACGGCCAGTTATCGATGCAGGAGCTGCGTGCGCTGTTCCCCAATGACGATCCAGTGATCGTCGACCAGCTCTTTGACCTCGTTGACGTGGACGACAGCGGACTCATCGATTTCCGCGAGTTGTGCTTGGCTCTGCGTGCATTAAATCCGCAGAATATCAACGAGGGCGACGACGCGTTGGCTAAATTCGCGTTTCGGCTCTACGATCTCGATAACAACGGAGTCATCGACGCCTCCGAACTGGAACAAATGCTTCGCTTCCAACGCATTTTCTACGGCATTTCTGAGGCTAGTGTTGCTGCAGTAATACGTCAAACTCAGACAGAGAATAACAGGGGCATCCCCTACAAGCGATTCGAGCAATTGGTAGTGCAAAACCCCGAACTGTTGTGGTACGCCCGCGACAAACTCGAAGTCTTACGTGGCTCAATGCGAGAAAGCAGTCAGGAAATCCTCCCTCGTCCGTAGAACTGGTATAATTAAATGTACATGGGTAGAACGAAACGGTGATCACTACTGCGTGAACAGCCACTGCTGCCCGACTCTTCATTGCGTCACTTGGGCGACATGGATCACCCGGAGCTCTACGCTATTCGACGCAGCGAACACGGCGATCAGAACGGGGTGCTCGAGTTGGATTCGCCCAGTAAAGATGCTCGTCGGTCATATTTCGGTCGAGCGTTGGTGGGAGCAGCCATCGAGACGTCATTTCTAGCGCTCACCGCCACAGATCCGACCAGACCTGAACGTGTTCTAGGCTTCGCCGCCTTTGACAGTTCTCCACCGGGTGAACTGGCTGATGCTGCTTGCTATCCGGCATTCCTCGAGCACAAATTCGATCTTCCACCTGTACGGATTCGTAGAATTACTCTACCAACTCTACCACATTATTGATACTAATTGGTGTATGCTAAACAGGCTTCGGCGTTCCTGTTTCTGACGTACTTTGCTCAACGTCAAGCGACTGCGGGGACTGCAAGTCGACCGCCAGTGCTCAAGCATTTGCTGCATTCGATGTTTGCCAGTTTGGTGAATAAGCGCAGTGTGTTGCTCGTTCTACCCGAAGACGTCAATATTACTGAGACTGAACCAGCGTTGGCCAAGTTCTTCGAACGATTACCAACTCGCTCAACACCCATAGAAGCCCCTGGAAAGCGGCTAGAGCAACAATTCGCCAAGAACGCCAAGACTTTCAGTCAGTTCATAGTGTACCAAGCTAAGGTGGACTCCTTCTTCCCAGCCGTGCATGTTCGTCGCGCTAGAGTGGAAGACCATGACGATTTGCAGCCTATCCTAACTGCTCAAGCTGAAGCTGTGTCCTCAGCATTTGGAGACTATTTCCTAGCAGAACTCATTCACGACCAGGACGAGCACAACGTCTGTCTCATTGCAGAAGCTGCCACTACAAATTCTGCTGGTCAGGGTCGAGCTGTCGGTCTGTTAGCGATCTCCGACCAGATCGACGTATCCACGCTACAAGACAATTTCGCTCTGAGTGCTCTAAGTGACCTAGCCAAGAGCAACACTACAGCCCTACGGACTGACAAGATCACTCCACCCAGACTCGTGATCGCTGGGCCTCCCGCTGGGGGTAAAGGCACTCAGTGCGAACTGCTAGTTGAGGCATTCAACGTGCTGCATCTATCGACAGGAGATCTACTGCGTGCCGCAGTGGCGTGTGGCTCTCCTTTGGGCGTTCAGGCCCAGCATTTCATGGACTCTGGCCAACTAGTGCCCGATGAACTGATCGTGGACGTAGTGCTTGAGCGATTGGCTCAACCGGATTGCGAGTCTCGGGGCTGGTTACTGGATGGATTCCCGCGAACATCCACTCAGGCTCAAGCTCTCCTAGCAGCAGGCTTTTGTCCTGACGCAATGATCGCGCTTGACGTTCCAGACGACGAGGTTGTTCGACGTATAGCTGGACGTCGAGTAGATCCCGAGACAGGCAAAACGTACCATCTCGAGTTTAATCCACCGCCTCAAGACGAAGACGTGCTCGCTCGACTCATTCAGCGCAGCGATGATACCGAGTCGACAATTCGTCAGCGTCTGGCTACGTTCCACAAGCATTTGGGCTCTGTTCTGTCTGCTTTCAATGCTGTTCCAGGCTCAGGAGCTAAGGTTATTACTGTGAATGGCCTCCAGTCGAAGCACGCTGTGGCGCAGCATATTGTTGAGCAAACGCGTACGATCAAGACTGCACAGAAGCTGCGACTGCTGATAAATCGCGGCGACATGACGCCGCCGAAGCTGGTGATCTCGGGTCCGCCTGCAGGAGGGAAGGGCACACAATGTGAGCAGCTTGTAGCTCTGCTTAATGTGGTTCATCTTTCCACTGGTGACATGCTGCGTCAAGCTATTCGAGAGAAATCCCCGCTAGGAATGCAGGCACAGAGTTTCATGGATGGCGGTCAACTGGTACCGGATGAGTTGATCGTGGACGTTGTGCTGGAGCGAATCACGCAGCCAGATTGTGAGAGCAGAGGATGGCTACTCGACGGATTCCCACGCACAGCTACACAGGCGGAGGCTCTTTTAGCAGCTCGAGGAGGGAAGGCTGCTCCTGATTACGTACTGGTGCTCGATGTTCCGGATGAAGAAGTTATCCGACGTATCGCAGGTCGTCGCGTGGACCCCGAGACTGGGAAAACGTACCACGTGGAGTTCAACCCGCCACCTCCAGAAGTCCAGATGCGTGTGATTCAGCGTAGTGATGACACGGAGGAGACGCTACGTACAAGACTGGAGCAGTTTCATGCACATAGCGATGGAGTATTGGCTGCATTTGAGGGGTACCACGGCGAGAACGGCACAAGTGTGCAAATTATCCGCGCTGACGGATTACAACCTGCTTCTTTGATCGCCAAGGCGTTCGTAGCTCCAACAATTGAGCGTGGCGTGGAGGCGGAAGCACGAGTTTTACAACATACAGGAGCGGAGAATCTCTCCAAGTTGGCGCGTGCTGAAGCGCACTCCAACTGCTTCGCGATCACCTTGTTTTGTGTGGGCGACGATGCGTTCGAGCGGTCCTCGTCTGCAGATCTACTGGTAGCAGCGTTCGCCACGTTCCCGACACGTGACTACTGCTTACTTACGCTACCGACACACGCACGAGAGCCTCCTTGTCTCGCCTTTTTCTCTCGTATAACTGCGCGACCGGCAAGTGCGTTCACACACGCACTATACGTGCTACATCGCGACGCTATTTCCTTCTTCTGTCCTCAAACAAGCGACGGTCGCGGTGTACTTCACCCTGTGCAGATTGACGTGCAACGTTTGCTTTCAAGTGGTGAAAATGCAGCAGAATTGGCCCCATTGATGGCAGGATTGAACCGCCAAACTCGTCAAGCACTGGACCAAGAGCTAGAATCTGCCAACGAAGAGGCCGAAATCGACCTGGAAGACTCGCCAAGGCACACAGCGTTCGTTGTACGTGCCAATGGACAAGTTGTCGGGCTGGCAGCGCTCGCTCGACAGCCCGAAGTGGCGACGTTGCTGCCTCATCACTTCGATATCGACCGTGTGGCACGTATGGAGTTCCACCGTGCTAAAGATCTGGCATTTGTGCGTCATCTGATTCTAAATCCTATTTTCGCGTCGTGCTCGCGTGTCGTGTTACTTGAGTTAATGAGGCTTTTTCGCAAAACATGCCTCATTTATCAAGTACCGACGGGACTTGGAACGAATACGAGCAACTTAACGTCGACATCGTTCAGTGCTGCGCTGGAGGAGTTCGTGCTCGCTCCACCACGACGTGGTGCGCACACTAACGCAGGGAAAAGCCCTGCATCAATCACAAAAGACACTGAGGAAGTGAGTGACGACGTCAAGGATGAACGGGAGCGAGTACGACGCGCAGCAGTTTGTGCTGCCTTCGCGCTGTTTGTATTACCCAAACGCTTACTGTCGGAACCGAAGATGACCGTCAACCAACGCGTCGTGTTTGTGGGCGCTTCGGACGCAGCATTGAGTTGCTTGGCTCGGCTTCTGGTGACTCCTTATCTGCATTTTTCTAATCTCACGCTCATTTCTCCGCATGGTTTGACGGTTGCGACGATGGATGAAGGTGAGGATGATACTTCGACTCCTCGACCTTCGGATTTTGCACGGAAGAGCACGTTCACAGCCGTGGAGATGGAGCAATTTAGCCTGCGGACTCATGTGCGAGTTATTGAGAGCCGAATGGTGCGTCTGGATCGGGAGACGCGAGCTGTGATTCTCCAGGATGGCTCCTGCATTCCATACGATTACCTTCCGCTGACTACGGGGCTACAGGACGGCACATGTACAGCACTTGGGAAGCTACCGCGGTTCGTGGACGAAAACTTTGACGATGGCACTGCTATGGCTGCAATGTATTACCCTCCAGTCATTCCGAGGCAAATGATGGCATTGGGAGACTTACCAACATCTCAGAAGCTCCATACTGCGCTGAACAAGACGAATGCTACTTCTGGAGGTTCTATTGTAGTGTATGGCGGCTCATTACTGGCACTTCAGGTGATCCAGGCGCTGCTTGTTCGCGGTATTAATGGCAGTCGCATTCATCACGTCTCTCCATCGCGAGACAACGGATGTGGAGTCTTTGAGGACACCGTGGTGCGATCAGAGATGGACAAGCAGTACGCCAATAGTGGAGTCACTCTTCACACAGCCATGCAGATTGTAGCCATCGAGACGAAAACGGGAAATGACAACGAACTGGAAGGTATCCGCGTCTCGACTTTAGACGGAGCAAAAGGTTCCACCGATGAACATGCATCTGCGGTTGAAGGAGAGTTGATACCTTGTTCGTGGCTGCTGTGTTGTCGGCACAACGACGCGGACGCCGATGTATTTCGTGCTATAAACGAAAGTGGCATTGTATACGATGGCCGCCTTGTTGTGGACGGTCATATGCGCACGACCGACGCACACGTGCTGGGTGCAGGATCGTTGTGCCGTTTTTCGAGACGATTCATGTCAGCCAAACTGCACGAGAACTACAGCAGCCGCGAAGGGGGTGAATTGCTCGCTAAATCGCTGCTTGAACTGCTAGATCCGTTGGCAATTCCTGAACCCTCGGAAGTGCATCCACTGCCTGCACAACCGACGAAAACACCCATGGTTCCACCTCCAGAGATGGAATTGCCTGTAATTCGAAGCGCTGTGATTCCTGGTGGCAAGTTCTACGTGCAGATCAGCGTTCCAACTCTCACTAACACGCTGGCTCTGCAATCGTTACCCACAAATACTGCGTCGCGAGCAACGGACGCGAACCTCATCGATACGGACACGCACGCACCTTCTCGTCCTACCAGTGGAACGAGTAGACCATCCCGGTACACGTGTTTGCTCTTTGACGACGTAGGGGTACTGAACCGACTGGAATACCTGGGAGACGGCCCTTTACCCGTCCGCAATCTACAGAACATTGTGGGTCTGCACGAAGCGTATCTAAACAGCGCACTGGCTTCGTATTCTGCAGGTAAAGTTAACGATTGGGTGGACTTCTTCGCCCACCCGTGGGCCAACGCCCTGTACCACGATCGCTTCCCGGCATTCCGAGCCAAGTTGCGTACGCTCTTGGCAAAGGACGACGGGGTCCGGGCCATTGCGGACGATGCAGTGGCGTTTATGAGGGAAACGGGAGATACAAAGGGAGCAATGGCGTTGGCTCAAGAGCGCGTTGGACGAGGCGGGAGCGCATTGGAGCCGTCGACGCGGAGGCTGGTGGAGAGTCAAGTGCTCGAGTTCTTGGGCAGCAACCGAGACGTCCTCAACATGTTTCTGTTACCCAAAGGCGGAGCTGCTACACGACCAGGCAGCAAGTGAGACGGCCAAGTTGTAGCTGCATCGGAGACGGAATGCAACGGGTGGTATGTGCGTCACTCGTGTCGTCAACTCAAAGATCAAGTTGAGGTGGGTACACGCACAATTACAATGCAACGACGGATCGTATTACAGTGTCCTTTCGGCGACGAATCGAAGATGAGATTTCAGATCATAAATAAACAGAGACGAGGCGATGTTAGGATTCTTTTTCTCAAGACTATTCTTACTAATCTTTCGATACGGTAACTTACCCGTAAATAGTACTAGAATGTGAGATTTCCTAGACGAAATTTAGTAAATACCTTGCACTTATCAACACTAATTAACAAGCGAGCGTTCTTGAGTATTCAGGCTAACTTTTATAAGCGCCGGATGTAGATAATTATCAGTAGTTTAGGACTGTAGCGTGCACGTAGCACAACGTTGAAGGTTTTAGTCGACTAAGAACAGTTCGTTTCTAGGATCGCTTCTCGAGAGGACGAAGTTGACAGCTCGATTCGTACGATACTGAATTATAGCACCACTTGTGCTGGTACAATGAAACCTGGCCACAAGCCTCGTCACGACACACGATAAAGAAGGAAGTCATCTGGTCGAGCTCAAGTCATTTAAGCACGTCTAGTCGAACCGATGAATGTACACGAAGTCCTTCGTGGAAATGGTTGTGCTTTTACGTAAAATATCGAATCCATACATCCACCATTTCAAAGGATTGGTACATGTTTTCGCAAGCACAAGAGTTAGGATTGCTTGGCTAGGGTAGATGCGCGAGCCTGTAGCAACTTGCAAACGACGACATGGTGGGAAATCCATGAGCTGTGTCGTGCTTGGCTCCGAGCTTCAAGCCATGGAGCCTCCAAGTCGGGAATCGATCGAAAATACTTCTTGTATATGTCCAGGCGACCCTCCACGCGGTCCTGGCAATGCCTAACGCAAGGACTCCTTGTACTGTCGGAGGTTGCCTTTTGAAAAGTATCATTCCATTGAAGCGTTCCACTACCAATGAGCCGCCAAAACTGAACGCTTCCCTCTGCAAGCTCGCTTCGATCCCTGCACGAGGCCCAGGCCACACACTACTTCAATAGCCAAATAAATATCAGTGCTAGCTGGCCTCGCACGCTACACACACGGAAGATTCGGGGAATCACAAGGAGCTGGTGAAGCGTAAAATCGCCCACGATTATGGAACAAAATAAAAGCAACTCAAACCCTAAAAAAATCCTTACAAAAACCAAATCAAATCTAGCTTCCTCTAAATCCTGACAACTGGGCGTCTGTTCAGTCTCCACTCCGCAATCCAAAGCTCACTACAGCAACCTCTTGCCGATTGACCATCACTCCATTTCCGCACTCGTGTCCGCACTCCCGCACTACCGCGGCCGTACGCCATGCTGCTCAAAATCATCCGTGCCGAGGCGCTGGCGTCCGCTGACCTGAACGGCAAGAGCGACCCGTTCGTGCGCGTCTTCTACGACGGTAAGGAGGTGGGGGCGTCGCACCGCGTCAAGCGGTCGCTCAACCCGCGGTGGGATTTTCAAGTGACCATCACTCTGGCACATGCTGGACCTTTGGACGTGGAGCTCGAGGTGCTAGACAAGGACGAGCTGTCCCAGAACGATCTACTGGGTTCTTTGCGTGTACCTTTCCCAGAGTGGCGCCAGCTCGTAGACCAGTACCAGAAACGTAAGCAGAGGAAAGAAATGCCCCCTACAAAGCACAGAGGCTCCAAGTGCGTGGACGTACGGCAACTACGCGTTAACAAAATTGCAGATACGAGCAACAGCGCCAACAATAGCGACAGTAAACTGCTGCAGAAGGGTAATTCCTCCCAGTCGACGGATTTCCAGCGACGATCGAGGTCTTTAAACTCCAGTGGGGGATATCTCCAAGCGGAGACCAAAGGCCGCGCTTCTGTGGCGTCTGGAGAGGTCTCGATGGAACCGGTGAGCGATGTGATGGATATTAAGCCTGTGTTTATATGGTGCAGACTGGTCAAGGGCTCGGCAGCGCAAGGGCGCATTCTCTGCAGTGTACAGTACGAGGAGAGAGACCTAAAGTACCTGGTGAACCACCCGTACGGTACCAGTATCCAGGAGGTTTTCCTGCCGCAGAACCCGAGATTTGAGCAGGCTTATTGCCATTTACCCAGGAGCTGGCATCCGGACGTAGCTGTAAGACAGGATGAACTCACGGCCATGCATCAAGGAACCCCCAAGGATTGTTTGTTCCCGTGGCACGAGAAGCTTCTTCACATGGTGGAGGAAGTTACAGTTACGTTTCACGTCAACGAATCGAATCAGGGAGTGCTGGCCACGCTGGTGCTGACTAACTATCGCATTTGGTTCGTGCCGTATCGACGTGTGCGGGGTTTGCTGCATGAGGATGTTCATACATTACCAGTAAGCAAGATCCTCAAGGCGTCGATTCAACAGCAGAAACGCAGCAACAACAACGTGATCACAGTACTGATCTTGGATAATATGGACGCTGGACACTACCACGTGACGCTCTCACCGATTTCCAGGTTACGCGATTCGGTCCGGGATTTCTCTCGTGAAGCAGAACTGAAACGTGTGAAGACGCTGCACAATATCGTTCGGGAGATTGAGTGGCTGCGCATTGAAAACAGCTTCTGCTCTCCTACAGATCGGAATCACACGGTGGCTACTGCAGATGAGATGCAACTTGAGGACGATTTACTTCATTACACGCCCAAGCACAGCAGCTCGTCGATGCCGCCGCCCATGGCTCGCGCTTTAACGCAGAATTATAGCAAGTATCAGAAGCATACGTTTACTAAGGAGAGCATTGGAAGCCTGACTCTCAACGGGAGTGGTGGACCAATGGAACGTCCCAAGGTCAAGCACCAGCTGAGCGAATCCGATGCTTATCCTCCGCTAACGCAGACGATGTCAGTGAGAAAGCCACCGCAACAATTCCAACTTGCAGCGAGACGACGCATTCGATACGACCCAGAGGCGGAATTTGCTAGACTAGGTGCTTTAGATCATCCTCGTTGGCGGAAGTGTGAGCTGAATGAGCAGTACCAGTTGTGCCCTACATATCCGGCATTCCTCATGGTGCCAGAGTGTCTGAACGACGAGATTATCACGGCTGCTGCGGGCTTTCGCAGCAAGAGTCGTTTCCCTGCGCTGACGTGGATCCATCCTCGAACAGGAGCACCGCTTTGTCGCAGTAGTCAACCAAACACTGGTGTATTACGAAGCACGAACCCTGAAGACAAGAAGCTGATCTGGGCCATCCGAGATGCTGCCATTCCAGCTGATCAGGCCGCAAAGTCCAAACGCGCTCTGCCCAAGAAGAACAGCGTCGTGCACATCGTTGACGCACGGCCAGAGATCAACGCCAAGAGTAACGCTCTTGCTGGCAAAGGGCATGAGTCGGTGAAACAGTACGACCGCGATGGAGTGTCTACAGCTGCGATCACGTTCATGGGGATTGATAATATACACGTTGTACGCAATTCGCTCGCTGGTCTGGCGCAGGCGTTGTATGAAGTGGAGGACTCCAACTTCTTCGGAGCGGTGCAAAAGAGTCGGTGGTTGGAGCATATCTGTAGCATCCTACAAGGCGCAAGCGAGGTGGCCACGCATCTTGAGCGTGGTGATGCGGTGTTGGTACACTGTAGTGACGGATGGGATCGCACGGCTCAGCTCTCGGCTCTGGCGCAGATAATGCTGGATCCGTACTATCGTACGTTAGAAGGCTTCGCTCAGCTGATCGAAAAGGATTGGTGCTCTTTCGGTCACAACTTCCAGAGAAGATGTTCGCATCCCACATCCGACCAGACGTCGCCGATCTTTTTGCAGTTTATTGATGCAGTGTATCAGCTCACTCTCCAGTTCCCAACACATTTCCAATTCAACGAGCTGCTGTTGTCTTCTGTCGCTGAAGCTGTGTACTCGTCGTGGTATGGGACCTTCCAGAAGAACTCTGAAAATGAGCGGCGTCTTTTCTTGTCTACCGTTCCGAGCGTCAGCGTGTGGGATGTCATTCGAGCCACCACAGATCAATTCCTTAACCCTTTGTTCGCTGGCAGGGAGGTACACGCGTCTAGTGGGTCGAACATGGAGCCCATGCTGCCCGTGTGTCGTGTGCGTGTTATGCAGCTCTGGGTCAGTCAATACCAAAAGGCCATTGGACACATGCGCTTGCAGCAGCGAGAGTTCGAGATGCTGCAGCTTATTCGGCAACAAGAAGCAGATCTCTCCCGTCTATACGCCGCCTTGTCCAGCGATCAACAGCTCGAGTTGCGTGCAAGCCAACTGCGGTCTGACATCGCAAAACTCTCGCGTAGCATGAACCTTAAATATCCTGACGAGCTTGCTACACCATCGAAAGAACTGGAGAAGAAGAGAATGGCATCTAGTGGCGAAATGCTGCGCAACTCGGGCAAACGACCGACCGCGGCGTCGCTGGACTTCCACGATTTGGCCAGCATTGTAGCTATGGGAACGGCAGGTGCCGCTGCAAAGGCGGGAGCGGTATCCTCGCCTCCTCGTGAGCACATGACATTGGCGCAGATGCTACAGCGTGGAAACCTCGAGGCTAGTTCTGGTCCTACGCCGGCCGGATCAGCTGGAGTACCAACGCAATCGCACAACCTGCCTAATCCTCGACGACGCAAGTCTATAACCAGTCGCTCACGCAGCAACAGCCTCAAGAACACATTAATTAATGTGGTAGCGCAGATGAAAGGTGGCTCACATGATAAGGAGATCGACGAGCCGGAGGAAGTTGGCTCAGCTACGCTGCCCAACCCAGTGCGTGTCAGTGAAGGACGACGCAACCTGCGCTTGAGCTCTCCATCGCGTCGAGATGAACTGAAGCGTGATCTTCATCACCTCGAGTCGCAGCTTTCGAAGCTCAACCATCAAGTGGCTTTAAAGGAGGACGCGGCGAAGCAGACGATGCGGCGGTTCCGCTGTTACAACTACAACCTCCCAGAGACAGCACTACGTAACGAGAACGATACGCTTTCGCCCACCAGCGGCAAGAAGGTTCGGCTGGGGTGTTCAAACGGCAACAAACCGTACCCCTCGCCGAGAACGTATTCGCCACCATCGTCATCTTCCTCACCCGGTTCAGGTGCAACATCAGCCTCGGCCCGAGTCAGTGGCGAACCCTATGACTCCAGCTCGTTGGATGGAGATCCCCGCAACTTCACACCAGGAAGCTCTCCGTTATTGGGCACGGACAAGGTAATCTCGGGAGGAAACTATCTCAACTCGCAGCCTGTGTGGGAGCGCGACGAAGACGCTCCGTGCTGCAAACGCTGCAAAAAGAAATTCAAGACACTCTTGCGCAATCGACACCACTGTCGCTGCTGTGGGTACGTTTTCTGCGGTCGTTGCACGAGTCACCGCATGAGTCTCCCAGATTTTGGCTACTACGACGTTGTACGTGTGTGCAAGGTGTGCTACAATTCAGGCGAGGATGGATAAGAGCAAGACGAGACAAGTTGTACGGTAAGCATTGTGGGAAAATATAATCAATCGATACAAGGGGGTAACTAGCTGGTGGTCGAGCCTGCTGATACGTCGGACGGACTTGTTGCTAGGATAAATCGTCGGTTTGCCGGGTTTTGATAAGTATTACGAGGCGTGAGCGCAGGAGCAAGACTTGTTGTCTCGAGAGAGATATCATAGTCAGCAAAGGCACGTTGACCTGTCGGGTCCTCAGTCCCTTTCGATGCCCGCAGTCTGATCAGACGATCTGGTGAGGTAGAAATCGTTGCAGCTGGAGCTGGTATGATGCCAAACGTAGTAGCTAATGCTCTCTTGGCTTGGCGTTTTTCGAGACGCACCGAGTGTGGCGTCATCTTATCGAAGAGTGCTGGAAACGCTCCATTATACTGCAAGGGGATGCTGTGAATTGGGCACCAGAACTATGAAAGAATGGGTTCTACGTACTCGATCGGGGAAATACGAACCCGGTCCGCGACTAGATGCTCCATTATCGTGTGTAGATAAGAACCTTGGCACATTAGACTTCAAGGAAACGACAGCGTTTCCCTTCTTTTTGAGTTGGGAACCTACGTTCGTGGACTCTTGCGGGTCGTAGAATCTCTGCACAGTAGCTGTAGGTGTCGGATTCACGTCTCGCTCCATTCGGTACAGCAATCGAGACCTGTGCCGCTTAGCGTTGCCTGCCATAGTGTTCCATTCCTCACGAAAAAGCGCCCCTGGTCCTCGCGCCGAAGCGAGGTCTACAGGCATTGTTGACAAACTTTAAGTAAAGGCTAGCGCAATACTACCAAACTGCCATCGTACCATCACGTCGATGTGTGAATAACGTTTGACGGAAAGGTTCATACTGGTTTTGTGCGTCAGGCTCGCGGCACGTGCGCAGCTCCATCGGTAGGAGCATTGACGCGTTGATTTCGAGTATATTTTTGGGATACCAACCGCGATCATGATTGAATACCGTACGAAAAACTATTAATACAAATGAGTTTTGTGAAGCGCTCGATTATCTACACTCGACAGATTGTGCAAATTGTTATCTCAAAGTTAAATTCGATAGCAGGCGATTCATCGAGTACGTAGCGTTGTAGCTCTAAACCTTATAAGTGAAATGCAATTTAGATACTGGCCAATTTACCAGTCAGTGCTTCCATGACTCCACAGTGACTATTTTTCTTAAAATAAAAGTAAGGTAAAAACAAAAGTGCAGGAAATTCAAAAAACTTTTATAAAAATATTTCGTAGGCGCTGAAGACGTTCGTACTACTGATGGTTCAAAAGGGGTTGTACGCGCACGCTTAACCCTTGTAACGCCGGCTCTTATTCTGTAGTATACAGAATAAGCATTTATTCTAAATAAACTATTGACAGAGGATTGCAACAATTTATCTGCTACAAGCCCTTCGCAAGTTGAGGTGGTGAAAACGCTGCGATGTGAGACACAAACGCTACGAATCTTGCCATAAACAAAACGTTTTTCGCACCGGCTGTCAGTTTTGAGCTCTGCTATTGGCCGCTAAGTATCAGGCGCACCTCCCTCAATTGATTCTCCCCTCGATTGCGATCGTGGC